GGCTACGATGAAAGTTATCAGTTTCAGATGCATTTAATACTATAGAGTCTGAGGATATATTTGGTAAGTTAAAATTAATCAGCTCTTTAAATTGGCGCACTAGTTCTTTTTTTGCCATATCTTGAATATCATTACTCCAATTTGCTAATGTTTTTAATCGAGGATCTAAAAGTGTTGCTAGTAATCCAGGCATTAAAGGTTCACCCCAATAATCAAATAAAGAATCATATATTGTATGTTGTAATGTTTTAAGAATAGCTTGTGTAGTATGATTCTGATTCGTATTTTGACTTGCAATATTTGTTACTGAGCGTGTTTGATGATGATAATAAGTTGAAGTTGATAAATTATTAAGTTCGATATCTTCATCTTCAGAACTATCATCATCTTCATCATCATCAGTTAATTCATTATAATTAAAATTAGGTGTTTCTAATAAATTATAGATATACATTTTAATAAAAAATTAAAAACTTATAAATAAAAGATTAATATAAATTATTTACCATTATTATTGTAATCAACTCGATCAGATATTTCAGTATAAGCATATGTAAATTTAAGAACTTGGATTAACGGATAGATAATTGATAATGTTGCATAATGTGTACCACTAAAATAAATAGTTGCATCATTAAAAGGTTCCAATAAAGTAACTACACTATTTAAAAGATTCTATTCATAAGGTAATAAAAGTTTTTTTTGAAGCTTTCGTCCTTCAGCATGATCAACAGAATCTTCTGATAAAGGTAATGTTGCGGCCAACCACTCAATTGCTCGGCGTAATTTGAGTAATCTACTCCAAGAATGAAATTTACTATTTCAGCGTGTTTTTATATCAGCAATATTTCGTAATACAGGCCCTTGATATAAACTTTCATCATCAGAATTATCCAAATTTTCTTTATCTGAATCACCTGACATATCAGCTTCAGTAATATTTTGATTTTGTGTTAAGAATATAGGCAAAGACAAACCACGTTGTTGAAATTCTTGTTGGGCAGTATCCAAATATTCACTATGTTTTGGTGATTTAGTAAAAAATTTAATTAACTGTTTAATTTTCTTGAAATGAATATTTGTTTTTTTAAAAGCATGATTTATAGAAAGTTGTAAGGTGTGGGCTGCACATGGTAAGCGCTCAACACTATTCCATAAGCTAGCTGCTTTAATCATATTACTGCCGTTGTCAGTTACAATATATGTAATTTTGCCATCTAATCCAAATTCAGACACTTTTTTTTTTAATAGTGTAGCGATCTTTTCACCTGAATGAGGATATGATATATGCTTCATACATAAAAGATCATCATAAAGTTTAAAATCTTTTGATAACTAATGGATCGTTATTCCTATATATCCATGTTTGCCTCAAGATGTCCAGAGGTTAGTTGTCAATGATGCTGTTTCACAAGTATTGTTTAATAAACTTTTCAATTTTTCAGTTGAATTGTTATAACTAGTATGAATTTCCTTTTTAATTT